GGAAAAAGAAAAACCCAACAACAAAAATCTGCGCCGAGCAGCGTCGAAAATGCGCCGACCCCATAGCGGCGCCATCTGTTGACAGCCCGTGATATCGCGAGGAGAAACTAACTCTAGCTACAGTTACTCTAGAGTTCGAGTGAGGGTTAAGGGAGAGTATCATCGAAAGAAGCGGTCGCGAAAGAGTAACTTGGATGAAGATAGGGTTAAAGGAGGGTAACTTAGGGCAGTTACTCTCCCTTGACACCTTTTTTTTTTTAGAGTGTACGATGAGGCATTCGCACAGCGGAACCAAAAGAAAAAGTAGATTTTCTGCTCGAAATCGCGTCCCGCGGGCCATAAACTCAAACGAGAGCTTGAATTGTAAGCGTCTGATATTTCAGGAAGGGAGGAATCAACGACCCGTGCTTTCTTTGCAACATTTGAGTCGCTATGTTGCCGTACAGGCGCGGAAACCTACCAGTGTGTAATGAAAGGCTGAGGACAAGCACAGAGGCCTCGAGATTTGACATCATCCATGTGCGGGTGAAAAGTGGAACATTTGCCGACAAAGCTCCCACAGCAGAAACCTGTGACGCATTCACTCAGCGTCCGGGAAAGCTAAACATGGAGACGTTGCCCAAGGCTTGAGCAAAATCATGTTTGAACGGCAGCTACCTGCCCCCTCGTATTTTGTTTGAGAAAGCTCTCCTTCTCAACTACCTCACCAGGGAAATAAAACGTTTTACGAAACGTATTGCTAGATATTCCAACGAACTAGATTTAAGCGGTATCCTTTGAGTGGTTCTATCGCTTAAAACGAAGCAGGCTCTTGAGCGTACAGTGTCCACAATTTTCTGTAGTGTATGCTGTTTTGTAGTCAGCTGGTTTCGAAAACTTACGCCGTCTGTAAATATCTCTGACAGCCGAGGTGCTTTATTGGAAGTCATCGAAAATATAAGTTACGCGCTGCAGCAACCAACGTTTATAGATAAACGGTGGCAGCGACTGGGCACTCTCGCATTCCCACCCATCACGTCGAACGTGATGGGTGGGAACGCGCTAGTTTCGGTTTGAGGTCGGTACTTTTCTACATCTGTGGCGACAGCATCAGTCTGCATTCGGCAAATTCGCTCGGGGCCGGTTCTCCGTGGAACACTTCGCGGGTGCAGTGCATTAGAACGTATCCAGAGCAAGTCTAGATCGCGGATCGGGAGCCCGTCGTTGGCGTCACCGGCGGCCATTGCTTCGCAACAGGCAACAGACGCAAGTCTAAGGGAGAAGCACGCAAAAGTAGGAAGCTTGTACGCGGTGCTTGAGGGCGAGTATTTTATGACGTGCTGCGATCATTATATCGGGTGCTTGAAGCTCGAATAGACATTCGTCAAGCGATCGAACATCGATTAAAAAAAAAATATTGGCCGGAGCATTACCGACTTTACCGACGATGCTTGCTTCGATTGCTCAATAAATGACACGTTCAGCGACTGAACGGCAGGCTCCAAGTTTTAGTTTGTCACGGAAGCCCTCACAGCAGTTAAAAAAAAAAAAAAAAGCTTTCATTAGAAGTACTATGTACAAGCGGTTCAAACGATGCGAATTTCCCAGTAAAGGCCTTCTAACTTATCGTTTGCTGAGCTCTGATGACTTAGGCAACACGAATGACTCCACAATAACTCTCGGTAACCCCCGTCTCATGAAACATATCACAGTTTACGCCCAACAAAGTCGCCCTCGACCCTCAACCACACAACATTAATTTAAAAAAGATTGGTATTCTAACGCGTTTAATATTCTTGCCCACAATATTGGCTGTTATTTGCGGAAAACACGATAGAAGTTTCATGGTCCAGAACAACCTACTAACGGAATATAATTGAGTTTTCCCGTTTCTCCTATAGCAAGCATTACACTTGTTAGTGAGCGCGTTGGCAATGATGTAGGTTTAGAAAACGTTATATACGTAAAGACAAGGGACGGGACGACACGTCTTTGTGTGTCGTCCCGTCCCTTGTCTTTACGTATATAACTCTTTCTAAACCTACAGCAAGCATTAGATCGTGTTAAGCGAAGACTGCCAATGGTGCCGCTCGACCCCAGCAATAGGGAGTATTCACTAGACGCCATTATTGTGGGTGCTGTCTAGAGCACATGCTCAGAACGAGCTCACATCAATAGGATGCTAAGACCGGCACTCTTGATGGTGCGAAATGCACGTTGCGAAAGAAGTGTGGAAGCTCGCCATCAGCATGCGCTCAGCATTCGCGCACACAGCTATGGCCGCCAGTGAATACTCCCTATACAGGTGTCTATCTGTGATCCAGCCTACTAAGAGATCAGTAGTGCCAGCGCAATTAGACAGAAATTGTTCCTTTGCATTCCATTTTCCCGATGACAACTTAAACAGCACCACACTGCCAAATCTCGAGCAAAGCCTGTCCTTTGCAGCGTCTGCAGCTTCACTCGGAAGTACCAAAGCGCGACCACGCGGGACAGGTTCGATGAGAGTTTCAGTGGTTTCAGTTTTGTTTTCCAGTTCGTCGCCTTGGTGGCGCAGGCATGTAAACTTTTTTTCACACAGTATTTTCATTGCAATTTGAGTGGAAAACGCGACATGAGTCCCGTCCACGCACCCAACGACGCCGGCAAGCATGCCGTCGGCTGGGGCGAAGTTGTCCTCTTTGGCGGCCTTGCTTTCCGCATGTAAGTTAATCCAACGGCTGAAGAGGCACTGGACGATGGCAGCCGCAACAACTTTGACAGAGCGGCTCACAGTCATCTCGGAGACTGACAGGTGCTCCTCAGTCGTCACTATGCCTTGAAAGCTACCGCCTCCGATGAACCGGAGCGCGCACTGAACTTGCTATTCCACGGTCATGGTAGACGCGATCGTCCTCCGCCTCCTCCGGAGTCCGGGCGCCGAACGAAGCACTTCGCACAGTCAACGACAACGGCCTTCGATAGCCGGTACTGTCGCCGAAAGTCATCGTCGGCCAGTTGAAAGGCGTCCCCGCGTCCCGGTGGTCTCGGTAGCAACGCCGACAGTGGCGGAAGATAAGCTCGGCCACAGCGTACAGCACCGTCATGTTGACAAAGCTTAACTTCGCCTCGATCCGAAGCGAAGATTTTGAGCTCAAACCACGGCTCTAGCAAAGTTCTGAAACGCCACGTTGACGTCAGCGACAACTTTGACAAACGATGTTTCGAATTACTTTTTTTTTTTTTTTTTTACACAAGGAGGGATTTGCTGCTTCAATAGGTCGCCTAGGGGCAATCTACAAAGCATTAAGTTTAGCTTGGGCGCAGCCGTTCAATCACCGCGCTGCTCGCGCGCTCCACGCGCGCCTCGATAACTTTGCTACATTCGGCCGATCTCGACGAAATGAGCGTTCGAATGATTGACAGCTCGCTCGGCGCGACGTCAGCGTCGCGAGAGTTAAATTAGCGCATTCCGCAAACTCCGGGCCACCTTTGTGTTCGACGAGTTTAGGGACTATACCAATGCCGCTCGCGTCTACGTCGGCCGAAATGGGAGCACCTCCGCCCCCGATGCCTGTCGTTCAACCCCAGCAACCATATTGTGACGAAGAGAAGCGGCACGAGTATTCGGGGACGGACCCTTCTGGGGGAAGCGGAAAAAGAAGGGCAGGCTGAGCGAGCGGCAATGTATACCGAACGGTCATCTTTGATTCTTTCTTCAATACGTGTGTAAACAATAAACCCCCTCACTGAATCTGACTTCTGCTACAATATATATATATATATATATATATATATATATATATATATATATATATATATATATATATATATATATATATAACTAAGAAGAAAACACCCTTAGTGAAAACAGCAACAACGGACCGGCCGAAACGTCAAAGATATATATATATTTATCAGGGTGTCGAACCGGAACTTAACCGAACCGGAAACCGGAACCGAACCGGTATTTTTTCCGGAACTGAACCCTAACCCGAACCGTTATATTGTTATCGCGATGAGCCCGAACCAGAACTGAACCGGAAAAAAAAATTAACGGTTACCGGCTCATGTGAAAACGGTTCGGCCACGCGCTGTTGACAATGAATGTCGTATCAATGCCATTTGTTTTTTAAGTGCCGTCAACTGACACACACCTCGCTTACATATTTTTTTTCTCCACTCAGTCTTAGGAATATAAACGCTGCATCCATAAATCTTGACATAGGAACCAGTATCGCGCTGGTCGCGGCTTGCACGGAAAAAAGAGAATTGGAAAGCTGTGCAAAAAAAAAAAAAAAAAAATCGCGTCATGGGATTTTATTTTTCTACAATCTCGTAAATCCTAAATGCTGCTGTGTGCTCATTTCATAACACGTTTATAGAACGTGATGTTGCAATTTTTTATTTTTTATTTTGATGTTATTTTGATGTTATTTTGATTTTGTTATTTTGATGTTGCAATTTGTCATTTATAATTTCCGAACCGGTTCACGAACCGGTTCGCGGATCGAATTAATCGAACCGGAACTGAACCGGAACAAAATAAATTTACCTGACCCTGAACCGTAACCGAACCCGTATTTTTTTCGGTTCGACACACTGATATATATATATATATATATGTATATATATATATATATATTTGTGTGCGTAAAGCCGCTGTGCCCGCCTCCTCGATACAGCGACTGTACTCCGTTTACTTCTAAGCTCACAGTGCCGAGCGAAGTGCGCACTTGCGGGACCCGTGAACGCCTGACCTCGTTCTCACATGGGTATGGGCGTGAAGCGTGGTCGCGTGGAGAGAGACGGCAGTAGGACTGATCCCTCAGTGGAACTTCCGCCGCATGTCAGCCTAGGGGCCAACGGAGTGTACATGACTTGCAGGTGACGTCAGCCCGCCCTCGTTTCTGGTGGCCAGAAGCGCCTCTTTCACGCGGGGGTGGCTCTCACGCGCCCCGAAGTGGGCCCATCTTCGTGGTGGCGAGGCGCGTTTTGTGAACGAAGCGGGAGCTACCCTCTCACGCGCCCTTTCTCCCATTAAGTCCGACCGAGCGACTCCACTAGCGCAGCGCTCTGCCAGCCGGACTGGTGGTCGCCGTCGAGTATCTCGAGGTCAGCGAGGGCGGACTGCCCCGATGCGCGCTATCGGCCTCGCTTGTCGGACAGCGTCTGCGCGGAATGATTAGACATGGCGGATCATCCTCCGGGAAGCGACCGGTTTCCGCCCGCACTCTGCCCGCGATACCCGCTCGCGCCGACTCGTGACCACCGGGAGAAAGCGGGAGAGCTGCAGTCTCGCACAGTCGCTGCGCCGACGCCGCCGACGCTATGAAGACGTCTCCGCTGGTTCTGGTCTCCTGCGCTCTGCTTCAAGTGGTCGCGCCAAACGGCACGTCCAAGACGAAGAAGAAAGGCTTGCACGTGAGATGCTTTCTTTTTCATGTTGCTCAGTCGGCAGGGCTCAGTATAAGTGTCAAGTCCGTGCTCCTTGCACGAGCGCGCGTGCGTGTGTAGGCCCGCTCAAAGCGTCCCGCTGAAACTTGTGGCTTCTCTTGCACTCGCACTTAGAATGAAACCGAGTAGTGACATCGCTGATTGACATATTTTATTTCGACGCAGGTTTACTTTGACATAGATATAATGCGTCTATTTTCCCGCACAGCACGCGGAAAACGAAACTCGTCCAAAACTCTGGGATTCTTCGTCTGTCACTCGAACTTGGGCTACCATTTTCCAAAGTGCCAGTTCGGAAGCTTTTCATTTGAGGCATCGCGTACACTCGACGCTAAATTAAAAGAAAAAAAAAATGGCCCCATCATGCGAGTGCTTGCGAAGACCATACATTCACCATTCTAATGCTTACGAATTCAGAGCCCAGCGCGCGCATGTTTGTCGCTTCGCAAAGAGAGCATGTCACGCGCCATACGCGCGAAAGCTGTAAATGGCACCGGCCAGAAGCCCTCTTGCAGAAAGGTCGCCGAGAAACTGAGAGGGGGGACGAGAACGCGCCGAGTCCATCTCACAAACATCTGCACCGCTGACAATAGCCCGTGTGCGAGCGCAAGGCGTCGGAAAGTGTCGCCTACTTGCTAATTCCCGTACGCACACACACACAAAAAAAGGCAGGTTGCTTATTCAGGCTCACGCGCCTTTTCTGCACTGTAGACATTCGCGAGACGAAGCAGCTGCTATCAAACTGGAAGTTCGAGGACCAGCAGAATATCCTAGCATAGAGGCGTACCTGGAAACGTTATGTGGAATTCCCTGGCTGGATTTAAAATCATCCAAAGGCGCTTTATGCTCGCTCCTTTATTGCGGTAGACGGGAACGCACGCTCGCGTGCCCAAGAAGGTCCACTGAAAAACGCGCTCGGGAACCGTTCGACATATACCGAGGGAACTTCCCATTAGTTGAGAGGGTGTGCTCTTTGCACACCAAGTGCATCAACATCGCCCCCGAAACACTTGCGCTATAAAAGGACCGAACATGGCGCAGAAATATAAACAAAACTGTCTACCTTGTTCCCCACCATTTTGTTTTTTCTAAACGAACAACTAATAGGTATTTATAGTGTATATATTTCAAATATACTTTTAACGCAATTGTACGCGTAAATTACGTAAAACAAATCCCCTCGACCTTTTTTTTAATAGCGTGGGGAGATTGTGTCCAAGTCGTGACCCTCGTGGAATTTCGGGTTGGCCACTCAACAGGTAACGCGGTAAGCGCGAACGTGAAATTTATCTGCAACGCGGGCCTCGGTCAAGAAAGCCAATCAACGCCTCGTTTTGCTGACTTGGAGCACAGAAAAGAGCAGCGTATTCTCGACTGCGTGGAAGATAGTTTCTCTCGAGTGCGAGAAAAGCAGAGAGCACAGGTGAAGCGGTAGCTAGTGTTTCTAATTTTCTTTAAGCTGTGTTTTTTGTGTGTGTGTGTGTGTTGTAAAGCGCAACAAGTTTAGAAAATGTCTTTCGGATTCAGAGCCTTTGCTGTGCTTCTGAACACCACGCCCTGCTTTTTATTGACTTTGGCTGCGTGTACACGCCCGGAGGTCACGGGAGGCCGCCTTTTGTGTGCACAAATTCGTCGATAGGATGACGATAGACGATGCAAGCAATTCGATTCATCAAATTGAATCTTGCATCATTTCCAAGTAGTTAAGAATATCAGTTGCATTACAGTTCGAGTGCCTATCAAACGCCGAAGGCACCCCTGAGGTTGAAATGTGAATAATCGAACGATTGTGAAGCGTGACTGATAATATCTTCTAAAATCTTTCCCAGCAAAAACGAAACACTGGTGAAGTTACCTCAAAGTCAATTGGTAGGCCTCCGAGTTTTAAAATTGTCACAAATTAAGCTTTCTTTTTTTTTTAGGCCGGGGTCACACTGCTTATACATTATACAAGAGGCAGTCTGCAGACAGATTGGAACGCGAGTCATGGCGAGATCGGTGCTTCGAATGCCCCATGGAAGTGGGTTCAAGGAGAGAACTTGGCACGCGGCATTCGAACCACGGATACTGCGGTGACTCGTGTCTACCAGACTGTCTTTTGTACGATGTATGAGCAGTGGGCTTTGAACCGAAACTGAAGCGGTTCCGTATTTGAGGAAAAACACCGAAATCGTCTTCATTTGGCCATCAGGATCACCAATATCGAGATTACTTCTCAATTGCGTGCACGGAGGCTGCGGAAAGTAATTTCCAAAGCACAGCTGATGATCCTACTTTCCGGAGCGTGACGTCATATTAGGAGCTTTCGGGATCTCTGTTCTCGCGCATCATGAGCGCCTGACAAAGCTACGCACGCGAACTCTTGCTATTTTGAAAGGCCGTGTTCCGAAATTTACTCCATCTTACTCCAGGATAAGGGTTTTGTACCTTGGCGTTCTAAAACTTGCAGGCGTCTAGCGTTTTTCAATCTGTGCTGTCACGTGACACGACCCGCCGGAGTAACCAGAATCCATTTGGGTAAGATTCGGAATGCAGCAACAGATGCCAGAAAGAGACGTCCCGACTGGTGCCACTGCGGGAGAATATGCCTAGCGAGTTTGCAATAGGCCTAGATCAAGGCGAGCTCTCCGCCGAACTCGCCGGTCGCTGCGATTGGTCGGCGCCGTTCATGACGACACGCGCCGTCACTCCCTAGATCGTGACGTCAGAACGGAGGGTTTTGAGGTGGTCGGAGAGTGGCATATTCGGAACTCGCGGCGAGATGCTGTGACGTCATTGTGACGTGGCAAAAGCCGCCGCGGATTGGAAAAGCTTGCCGGCTCCGACCTAGACGAGTTTGGGCGAGTTGGGCGCGAGATGAGGGGGGCGTCAAAAATGGCAGCGTTTTTGTGCGTGTTTCGCCGTCGGCGAACATAGACGACGTTGATTTTCAACAAGACTATAGCTTCTTGAAATACGTGGTAAGGTGGCTGTGCGATGAACTGCGTGGCAAACCGTGCTTGAGGCCATGGAGCCGTGAATGTACCGTCGTCCCCGTCGTAAAACCTACAAACAAATTCTACAAAGTGAATCCTAGAAAAAAAAAAGTGTTTTTATGGCAATCTGTAACCAGGAACGCAATTTATCATTACCTACAGGCTTTTACAATTATGGTGATGATTTGTTGCGCTGCGTAGATGCAAGAAAAACGCACTTGATAGAATTTAACTAAAACAGAGGATAGAAGAAAAGCAATCTACATGAATGGCGCAGACTAACAACTGTAATTTCACATCTTTCTCCCTCCACAGCGTCTTTTGACGAAGAAATCGGTCGTTAGTTGTTTATACGGCAGAACATGCCAGCACATGGCGACATTGTTGCTTGTAGATAAGCCATTTAGCCAGTGCAGTACGACTGCTAGCCTGGGGTCTTTAACGTGCACCACGCAGTAGTCATACACGACGGCACGCAGGTGCGATGCTCATTAAGATCGACGAGCAGGGGTGGGGATTGAACCCAGGCCTCTGGGTTCTGCAGCGCGAGCTTTCGCTCCCCGTGCACCCTTTTCTAAAAAAAAAACAAAAAAAAAACAAAAAAAAAAAAACATATTGTGGCTGTGTGGCGACGTGGGGGGAGAACGATGAGAAAGATATTACACAGTTGTTAGTCTGCGTCATTCCTGTATGTTGTTTTCCGCCTATTATCTGCTTTAGTTTAAATCTTCATCAAGTGCGTTTTTCTTGCATCTACGCAGCGCAGCAAGCCATCACATTGTCTAACCACCTAGCCCATATCCAAGCAATATTTGTATAATTAGGATCCGTGCTGCTACCGATTCTTATTTGTCATTTACGATCTAAATAAAAAAATTGGGTTCTGTGTGTGTTTTTACAGCCTAAAAGTTGGCCTGCCTCAACGGGCGACGATTCTCCCAGCTGTAGATGAGCAATTTAGCCAGTGCAGCACAACCGCTAGCCTGGGGTCTTTAACGTGCACCACGCAGTAGTGAGTGATACACGACCGCACGCCGGTACGATGCTCATCAAGATCCAAACGGGCAAGGGTGAGGATTGAACCCGGGAGTGGAGCGTAGGGACAAATCGGAGCCAAGCTGGGGAAGTCGCCGCCGCCGGGGGGGTCGGAAACGTAAGAGGAGGAGTGGGAAACTCGCCAGGGCGGAGTCGAAAGAAGCTCCTCCCCTCACCCGTTACGTCGCATCGGAGAGATTCCCGCCGAAGGCGAGCTTAGCCCCCCTGCTATATTACCCAAGTATCAAGGAGAATGCAGGGATTGGTGTTCCACGCGCCGCGCGTGCTGGCCTCAGCAGTAGTAACTTTTCTAAAGCAACCGCCTGGAACAAATGTCATCTTGCACGCGTGTTTGTCAAGGCTTTATTTTGATTATTCACTTCGAATCTTTTATACGGGGACGCGTGCGCGTGTGGCACGCGTGGAACACCAATCCCTGCATTCTCCTTGATGCTTTGGTAACTTAGCAAATGGTCTATTGCATGCGCTGCCCACACGAGTGACACGCGCTTGGCTGCCTAGAGTGCCTACATGTATGTCTGTCTCAGGTGAAGACATCCATTGTTGCCCTTGATGTGCCAGCGCGTGACGCTCTCGCGCACTCGGTGCGTGATTTGGGCGATAAAATGGCGTCTATGCATTAGCCAAAGCTACGCGCTCGAGCTGAGTGACATCGGATTACGCGCATTTCAAGATACATAAAAAAAAACAATTGGGCGCAAAAATGGTTGACATGTCACCACTCAAGCAAAAGCGCGCGTGTGTATGAAGGCACTCTAGGCTGCCCAAAGCATCCGAAAGTGAAACTTACTTACAAAGAAATGTAGAGCGGCAGACAAGAGGTATACTCTGTTTCACTGTATGATGTACCGCAGGAAAGGCTACAAGCGCGAGCTCCTTGCTCTGGGGCACATTCCGGCGGCACATGCGCTCGTGACTTAAAGGGAAGATGGGGCA